AGGCCGGCTGCTCCTGCGGTTGTTCCCAAGCTGCCGACCGTCTGGGGCTGTGCTGGCAGCGTGTTCTCTCTGACCACATTATGCTCCCACTTCATCTGGCCCCAGCCCCTCCCACGGCGCTTTCATTTGGACCAGCTTTTTGAGAACTGGCGGGGACATTCCCTGAGGTCCTATGTGAGAGAAGGGAGGCCCTGGACAAGTTCCTGGTGGCCATGAGTAGCAAAAAGGCAAAGGAAATGAATTTGGGGGGGGAATAGTTCTCCGAGGGCTTTTATTTTGGAAGAATCTTTGTAGGGATGTTCCAGAGGAAATGTGGCAACTTTACAACGGAACCTCTGTCTTCCACGATGGCTTCCTGAGTAATCATCGGGGAAAATCATTCCGATCATCAGCAACATTTTTCTTTCTGGGCCTGTGATACAGACCCTACCTCTTGGAGAATCTCAGAAATGAGAGGGGCCTGGCTCATGGGCCACCATAGTGGCAGGTGGGGGTGGGAGGGTCCCCGTGCCACTTACAGGGTCTCCTCCGCAGCCTGGCGGACCCTCCTCTCACCTTCTAAGTTCTCCCCTGCAGTTCTGTCTTGTCAGCCCTTTTAGCAGTGAACCCTCTTTCACTCAGTGACAGTCCTGCGTATCCAGTTTTCCCTGCTCCTTTTTTGGTGTCCTTTGTCCTTGCTGTAGGAGTTCTGACTGATACAGTCATTTCAAACTTTAAATTTTTATCTTTTTTCTGGTAGATACATTGTTTCAGTCATGATGAGATGGCTTTCTTTATTTCTAGGGATTTATTATTATTATTATTATTATTATTATTATTATTATTTGCTTTAAAGCTTTAAAGCCAAAGTTACATTGTTTCACAATTGTGAAATGAATCGATGTTTCTTTTGGTTAGTGCTTGCATGAAACATTTCCCCCTTTTTTTATTATTGAACCGTCTGTATCAGGGTGTCAAACTCCTCTTCACTGGGGGCCACGTCAGCCTAGCAGTTGCCTTCAAAGGCCCAAATGTAACTTTAGGACTGTATAAATGTAACTACTCCTTAACGAGGGGCAAGGAGCTCTACATTTGAGCCTTTGAAGGCAGCCACGAGGCTGATGTGGCCCCGGGTGAAAATCAGTTTGATACCCCTGTTTTATACCCTTATTTATAAAGCATTTTTTGGGTAACTATCATGTAGTTGGGTTCTGTCCATTCTCGTCCCTGGGATGTTGTCTTCCTGCGGTTCCGAGTAGAAGCTGGGGGTGGCCAGGGCCCTTCTTGGGGAGACTGTGGGGTCCCTGTGCAGCTCCTGGGCAAACCACCTCCAGCTTTGGGACCAGAAGCAGGAAAGTGCCCAGGGCTGCGTCACCTCCCCTGGCTTCCCTGTTTTCAGGCTTTTAAGGCTCTAAAATTCGTGTTTTCTTAGTAGCCTTCTACGACCTTCACAAGAATTTTTTTGGGGAAAAAAAAAAAGCTGTTCCTAGCTTTTCTGACTGTCTTAGGAGGCGCATTGTTCTGAAGCAAGTTAATCTTCCATTGTTAGAAGTGGGAATCTGGAAATATTCAGCCAGAAAAAAGAAGACTTGTCTCTTTAAGAAACTAGTAGACCTGAGTGTTTGCCCGGAACACGACAGAGCAGGAAGGAAGCCCAGGGCGAGCACATGAAGCTCTTTGGACCCACACGAGGAGCTCAGAGCGTGGCCATGAACACCTGACGTGACTGAGAACCGATGCAGAATGGGAGTCAGACTCACGGGGCTGCGAATGGTGTGCAGCGTCGTGACAGACGTCGGGTGGGGAACCGGGCAGCCGCGTGGTCTCCTGGGAAGGACACCAGGCTACTCTGCTCGCCACTCCCGTGTCCAGGCCTGGAAAAACTTAGAAACCATGATGATAGCCAGAAGCCCTCTGACGCTAGGAAACAGGCCGGGGAATGCCACTAAGGAAAACCAGATTAAACTCATCAGTAGTCAATTAAAACATTTTAAACTAGATAGATGGTGTAGCTTGGTGGTTGCATTTATTTGCACGCTGTTTTCTATATCACATTTGTATTTAAGTGTGTAGATAATTTTCAGTTACTGTACTACAGGGCTTGGCCCGGAAAACCTTAGTGGTGGGAATGGAGGGAACTCAGCAGACGTGGTGGGTGGTTGATACGCTATTTCCACAGCTTAGCCATTGTCAGCAGGAGGAAACTGTCTCCTAATCTGTCCGGTCTCTTCCCCTTTGGAAAGCATCCTATTTCAGTGGAGAGTACTGGCAATGGGACACAGCATTTTAGGACAGGTTGACCAGCTCTCTGGGCCTGGCCTTGTCACTGATGACGAACTGGTGACCTGCCACGGGAGTGATGGAAACAGACAAGCACTGGACCCCGATGACCTGGGTCAGAGTCCTGCTTCGTCAGACATGACACCGCTGGATTCCCCAGCGAGTCCCTGCGGAATTAGTTTGGACCTGTGGAAGTACCGTGGGTGGAAATCAGCTCTTTTACTGGATGGCCAGGAAGGCGTTCCAAGGACCCACACACAAGAGATTGTGGTGTGGCAAGATGATTTATTTGGGCGGAAATCTGCCCCTGGGTTTCCAACATCCCATCTCCCTCCGTCTGCCAACGAATCCAACTGTGTCCTCAGCAAACAAGAGCCAGCGTCCCGAGTTCATGCTTCCTGTTAAAGCCCAGTCCTTCAGAGCCCGGGCCACCTGCTATGGGCCTGGGAAACTGCTAGACTGTCACACTTTTCCCGTGGGAAGAGTGAAGATCCAAGAGGCTGAGGAACTTTTAGTAAGTGGAGAAGCTAAGATTCACAGCCCAGCTCTTGAACTCTGGGGCCCTGCGGGAAAGAGCCTGCAAATGCATGGGGCTGGTATGTTACCAGGTGGGGGCAGGAGGGGGGGGGAGAGAAGAGAGAGAGAGAGAGAGAGAGAGAGAGAGAGAGAGAGAGGGGAGAGAGAGAGAGAGCACTTTTCCTTTGTTCCTCTGTGATTATATGGGCTTGGGACAGACCAAGTGCTTTTTCAAAGTAGCCAATGAACTTCTCAAGATTTTGCGGGCTTTTGATAGGTCCACCTCCCAACCAATCCCCTCTTTCCCCAGGCTAGAATGACAGGTCAGACTGACAGGCCTCTCTCCCTGTACCACTGCCCTCCCCGCCAACAATCCCCCAGTGGAGCAGGGAAGGGAGGTGTGTCCATCCCCTTCGGGGTGCAGTGCTGTGATTCCCTGGGGTTTGAAGCTGTAGATCCCTGGTGAAGCAAACAGGCTCCTGCTTCCCAGTTTATTAAACTCAATGACCAATTTTCCCTTCACTCTCTTTCCTTTGTTAATATCCAGCTAACCTCCTACAGTAACAGAAAGTTATTTGATCTTCCTGAGCCTCAGTGTCCTTACCTGCTTCCTACCAGCTTACGGGTCCACAGTGTAAGACCTTAATAAACATTAACTCTCCACCTGCGCCCCTTTGGAGGGCGTTGGGAGTGAGTACACTGTTCTCTCACCGATGAAGGCCAGGCTGACCAGTTCAGAGCTAAAGGGTCCCTTCAAGGAATTAGTTTCAAATCCAAGTGGGGGATGCTTACCTTACCCAGTAGAGTAAGGAAAGAACAAAGAATGCAATTGGAGGCTGACCTTAGGAACAACAGAAAAGGGACCCATTTTTGGTGGCTTCTTCTCTAATTCTTTTCAGCACCTCTGTCATTCCTACCTAACTCAACTCAAGGCAGTTTCTGAGATGCACACAGGCAAGAGGTACGAGGGAGGTGCTCTCTGCCGCTTCCTATTTTTATTTCATTTGGTTGTATAATCATTCTATGAGCTAACACTTCCAGAGTTCTATGTGTCAGGCAGTATTTTACATATATTAACTTACTTGCCCTCTGTCCCATGGCTTTTAAGTGTCAGAACCAGGATTCACAGCCAGGCAGTCTGGCTCCAGCCCTGCTCTCTCCAGGGCTCTGTCTCCTCTTTGTATGCAAATTTGCTTTGTCTTCCCTGGCCATCCAAGGGCATTGAACGTGCCCTAAACCCAACTCAGCAGCGTGCCTTGGGGCCCCCCTCCTGCTGTGGTTGAGATCTCAGGCTATGTCACTTTGGCCTCTGGTTGTCACACCAGGCCTCCAATGTACACAATCACCCAGTATTAGCAATCTGATCTCTCAAGGAGGTCTCAGCTCTCAACCTGTCTCCATTACAGTGCTTTTCATGCGTAAATTAGCTGCTTCCCAGGGGTCTCCCTGACTCCCAGTCTCCCTGCTTTGGCCCGGTCTCAGGTCTCATTGGTGTATGGGGAAGGCAGAGAAAATACTGGTCTCCTCATATCAATTTCCATCTTAAAAGGCTCCTATAGCTCTGTTAGACCCACAGAAGGTGCTAGAGTCTGCAGAGATGAGCCCTGGGGCCCGAGAGCAGGGCCGTGAATCTTAGCTTCACCACTTAAGAAAAGTTTCTCAGTCTCTTGACTCTTCACTTTTCCCTCGGGAAAACAGAGGGTAGCCAGGCAGCCTGCACCACTGGGCACGGGGCAGGGTTAGAAGGCAGCAACTGTTATTTTTATATTGTTGCACTGGGAAGCCCAGAAACCTTAACTTGCCTTGGAAGTCAAAAGCAGCGTGCGATGTTTTTGATCTAATCTCTTGCATATTCTCCACGCTTTAGCCACACTTAACCATCATTCCGGGGCTCATCAGCGTCTGGGCTCAGTATCTGTTTGTTTGTCTGCTTTTTAGGATGTCCGTTCCCCACTCCATGCCAAGAAAACCGCAGCGAAGGAAGCAAGTGTGATAGAAAAAGGCATCGTGAAGAATTCTATGGTGATGGAGAATCTCCCCGTTTGTGTCTGCGTTTGTGTCTGAAAGTCATGTAAGTTGGGGGTCCATGGAAGCCTGTGCCTTCCTTTTGTTTCTTCTCATCTAATCCTGGGCGGGAGGTCACTGTGGGTGTGAACTGGGTGGGAGGCGATTGTTGTCCTTGCTTGGTGCTGTGCCCCGGAGCTCTGCCCCTGGCCTTTGGCTGACAGCAGGAGCAGCTGAAAATGGACAAGCAGCGAAACCTCCGCAGCGAGGAGCCTTATGTGGCCGGAGGCAATGCTACAACGGAAAGCAGGTAAATTTACTCAGAGCCGAAGAAGATCTTCAGCAGTTCTGGGAAATAACGATGGCCAGTGTCTACGTGTTATTGTGTGCCAGGCACCGTGCTAAACATTTTACATACCCGACCGCTTTTACTCTTTAAAACAAGCATGTGAGACTTTACTTATTTTTATCTGTACTTTACAAAGGAGAGGGCTGAGCTCTAGGGAGATGAAGTAAGTTGTCAGGATTGGAACCAAACTGTCTGATGCCAAAGTCTATTATTTACTATCTTTGAAATGTCAGTTCCTCAAAACTCTTTGGACAAAGGGGATTGATTAGATGAGTGGTTTTCAAACTGTTCGACCTTGATCTACAGTGCGAAATATATCATGACCATGACCCAGGCCGCACTTACACATATACCTTTCTCACACACACACACACACACACACACACACACTGATTTGCTCTCACATACTCACATACCCACTTACAAAAATATGGAACTAAAACAGAAGCTTCACAAGGCAATAATTGATGTTCCTATATGTTTTCTATTAAATTTATATTTCATTGTAAAAAATGCTAATTGTGACCTGCAAATTTGTAGATTTTCATTTTGAAAATCTACACTTTGAAAACTAGTGAATTAGAAGGTTTTTCAAGTCATCAAATTCTTATGTTCTGTATTTCTTTTTTAAATTATTTTATTGTTGTTCAATTACAGTTGTCTGCATTTATCCCTCCTCCCCCTTGTTCTGTATTTCTTGCAAATGCTGTTGGGTTTCTCCCATCCATTTATCATCCCAGAAAATACCTTCTCATCCCGTGAGATACAAACATTCAGCATTACGTGGCCATAATGTTAGGGTATCATGTTGTAGAAATTGTTAAAATGTATTTTGTAATTTTTGTGTATTTGGTGACAGGACTATTTGCTTTTATTTCTCTTATTTACCAGAAATTGTTTCCCTCTGATCATTTCCATCTGCACTTTCAGAGTGGCCTGGCAGGGTGGAGAATGTCTTTAAGTTACGAGGGCATTGTGTCCAAACAAAAGGAATATTCAGAATAGTGTTAATTAGAAGAGCAACAGGCTTTGGCTCCCGTGCAAATGGAGCATAACTGAAATAGAATCGAGTTTTTTGCAAACGGGATTTGAAACTTTGGTGGAAAAACTGGGAAGATAAGTATTCTCAAAGATAAGCAACTGCAATCTGTATATGTAAATGAGTTCAATTAATTTTAGTGGGCAAATGAGAAAATCAATGATTTTCAAAATCGAGTAATTTGGTAACTATTAAATTCATTAGTCTTTCTGTTTTAAACTTAATTATTCATGTATTGAACCAGATTGAAGCATAATTTATGGAAAACTCATCCTTAAATTAATTACATGCAAGACTTTCCTCCTACAAATGGGAGCATTGAGGATGAAATTGTAAGTGATTACAATCGGTGCAGGCTGTGGAATCCTTTGGTCACGCTCCTTCCGGTCCAGTGTGGCAGGTGGTATGGAGCAGGGGCACCCCAGCCTTGACTCAGGCCGGGGTTTGAACCTCGGGGTTGACTCATCTAACTGTGGCCTCTCGGGGAAGCTTTCTTAGCATCTAAAGAACCTCAGTGTTCTCACCTATTACATTAGGAGATTATACCTATGCCGCAGAGCTGTTGTGAGGGCTAAAGGACACGTGTGTCCAAACCTTTAACAAAATACCAGGCACAGAGAAGACACCATAAGTGTTGCTCCCTCCCCTCCCCATCTTCTTCCCATCTCCCACTTTAATTTTTGGCTAGAGGAGGGCTTGTTTCTGGGATTGCTTTAAAGAAGGGGTACATGGTATGGTCAGTAGTAATGTAACAGGGTACAGCCAGGGCCCTGCAAAGAGGAATTTCTAACAGGGTCCAGAATTTGGGGTGTCCAGGAAATAGAGAAATATAGGATATCCCCACCCCGATAAGTCTGGATGGGGGAAGAGACATATGAAGCATGGCCACTGAGAGATATTTTGCAGACTAGCTTCATACCTGCTGTGCAAAAATGGTTGTTTTGTATATCAATAACAGCAGCCTAGTCTTCCAGCTGGAACTGAGGAGCCAGAAGGTACACAAAACTTCGACCTGCGAAGTAACTGTGAGGCAGTTCCCCCTGGTTACAGCACCTGTGTGAGCTCGGGGTGGTTTGCTTCTCGCTACCGGGCCATGCCTGCCCAGACTTACTGTGGCAGCCCAGAAGGTCTGGAAACTGCGGGGGTGCTGGCCGGTGCGGCCAGTTGCGGAGGAAGATTCCTGCCGGGATTTAAGCCCAGGGGCAGCACTGGGGGTTTGAACCACGTGGTTTTGGGGTTCTGGACCACGTGGCTTAGGCAGGAGAAAAGCAAGATGCAGCAGACATGTGGAGCTCTTTCTTAGTGGTTTGGGAGAGACAATGCGAGAAGGAAAGGGGTGAAAGGACTCTTGCTGGGGTCTGTGAGAAGGGGCCACTCGAGTTTGGATTGAGAACTGGGGATCACAGAAGTGACACAGCTGATGGTGCTGGGGACCATGGGAGGCCTGCAGCTGAGCAAAATTACCGGGAGGAACCGGGAGTCTAGTCGAGCTGCGGACTTCTATTTTTTTCTTGAGATACAGGGCCCCTGACTGGCCTGACTGGGCAAAGTGGGGAAGGAAGGACTGCGTGTTTGTGGGTGTTTTATAGGGACTTTGCTAAACCTGTACAACTTTTGAATAAATAATTTTTTTCCATTTTACCAAGCTCTGGCATTTAGTGTCCCAATTCCTCAGGGTGGAATTCCTAAAGAATCCACAGTGAGAGAGAGACCCTGTATCTGGGACCACCCCTCACCCCCGCGCCCTGTAACAGTATCTTGTACCCAGGCCCCACGGGTCCATTTTGTAACAGTAATTTCATCTGATAGAGTTCTCTGTATCTCTTGCAGAATCATTTCTATCAAGACACTGATGGGTTTTAAAAGCGCTTCCTTGGAATTATTGAAGAGGCCAGACAGCAGGTGAGGCAGAAAAGAGTTCATGTGTTTGATCTTCTGATTTTACTTGCTCATCGCAGTGACTGGTTCTTCTGATGCCTTGTGTTTCCTGCCCTCACCACACGGTCTCCTCGGGACAATCACTAAAGCTCCCACTGATGACTTTTGAAATAAGGACGGCAGGCATTTTTGTTGACATTGTACAGATAAGCAAAATAGAGGCCCAGAGGGGTTGAGTGGACTGCCCAGCGTTGCAGAGGTAGCAAAAAGGGAGGTCCAAACCCAGGTCTGTCAGGTTCCGAGTTTGGAGCTTTATTCTTCTGAAGCAACAGCCTCCGTTGTTCTGTCCCGAGCTCACTGTCCGGGGCCCGGATGATGGATAGTTACCCAATGTTGATAACTCTTCTGTGAGCACTCTCTCTGGTGTCCGTCTCCAGACTTCTACTTCCCGGCTCTGGTCTCCGCCCACTGCAAGCCACTCAGTCTCCTCCTGGCTTATTGGTCGAAGGACATCGCAACGTGACACGGGTTTTCTTCCCCTAAACCGTGTTCCAGGCTCATCTTCACCAGCCTTCTAGCTTATCCTCTCTCCTGAGGATCCACTTCTGCAGGTATCACCTTGTCTGGTGCCTGGGCCCTCTCTCGAGGACACACAGCCATCTTGTTTATAACCGTATCCCTAGCGCACGATATACTCGGTGAAGAGCGGGTGTTGAGAAAACACTCGTTAAGTGAGTCACTAACAGACCTCACCTGGCCCTAGTCACGTATCAGAACTTCCATGGAGTTTAAAACTTTTTTCAGTCTATTTGTTTTTAACAGTTTTATTCATTTTATTTTTAGATAGAAGTGAAGAGAAGGAGAAAGAGGGGGAGAGAAACATCAGTGTGTGGTTGCCTGTCACATGCCCCTCACCCAGGCATGTGCCCTGACTGGGGATCGAACCGGTGACCCTGTGGTTCTCAGGCCAGCGATCGATCCACTGAGCCACACCAGCCAGGGCTCAATGTAGTTGTTTTTGTAGAGGGGAATTCTCTTTGTTTGTGAAGTATGTAATGTATACTAAAAAGTCTTAAAAATGTATGTGAAGATTAGTTTATGATAATAAATTGAAGACCACGTACCCACCACCTGGGTTTGGAGACAGGACGTGACTGGGAGCTGAGAAATCTTCTGTCCATCCTGGTCCTGGTCAGATACGCTGTTTCTCCTGCTCACTTTCAGCTCTGCGGCCCCCTCCCTGCTTCCGAGAGGAAGTCACAATCCCGAGTGAACCCCTTTCCTGTTTTCTTCATAGTAGCTCACCTTCCAGAACGGCCCTAGGTAAGACACAGCTGTTTTGCTTTGTCTGTGATGAGTTTTCAATGATTTGAATGATTCTGATGCATTAGTCGGTGGCCCAGTTCTTTCAGGCAACACCATTATTTAAATTAATGGCACAGACATAGATGAATTCCTGTTGGTGAATGTAGGTGTGGCTCATTCGTTTCCCTGGCTCTGTGATATCCACTGCATTCTATACAACTATCCATTGTAATGTTCTAGTATTGATTGGTACTATTCTAGTACAGTGTTTCAGTTATTTCTAGTTTCTTGACATAATGAATAAGCTCCTATAAATATACTTACGGAAATAAATGGGCAAAAGTTCTTCTGGAGTACATGATCAGGAATGGAAGGACTGGGCTGTAGTTCACATCTCCGTTTAACTGTCGCAGGCAACAGCAAACGCCACTTTCTACGTCATCAGTGGTGGGTAAGAGTCCCCGTTTCCCAGATTCTCATCCGACTTTTACACGTTGGCCAATCTTCTAGGTGTGAAATGACGTTTTCTGTGATTTAAATTTGTATTTCCCTAATGACTAATGGTGGTGAGTCTTTTAATATGTTTACGGGCTGTTCAGGTTTCTTCCTCTGTGACCACGAGGTCTGTGTGACATCCAGCCATGTGACATGAACAACGGAGACACTTACCAAAGAAGATACAGGACACAAGAAACATTCACTGGACAGTGATGCCTCAAGTCCCCTTCAAAGTAGGCACCCTGGGACCTCAGCTGCCCTGTTGTATTTTCCTGAATCTCACTGATGGTCTGAACTCTCTTCCCTTTCAAAGGTGATTTTAGCTTGGGCAGAAATCACAGGGCACCAAATCTGGGCTGTAGGGGGGCTGAATCACCTGGGTGATTTGTTGTCACCAAATTTGGTGATTTGATTTCACCAAAAAACTCTGCATGAGACGTGATGACCAAGTGTTATTGTGATGAAGCTGCCAATTACCAGTCGCCCATAACTGCAGTCTTTTGAATCATCTGAATAGTTTCTTTGGAGGAATGTTCAAGCTTAATGCATAATTTGATGCAGATGTGTTGCTCTACTGGCTCAGTCATTTTGAATGTGATGGCCACACAGTACACATGCTCACTCAATGGTGTCTACTGCCCCCACTGACTAGTATAGCGAAGTCATCATTGTTCACACATGTGCATTCCAGTCCACTCTCCTTGGCTGCCAGGTTACATCAATGTCATGCAAACCGTTCTATCAACAATGGCTGGACTTTTTCTGGACCAACCTGGCATATATCTTTTACTATTAAAGACTTTTAAAAATATCTTTTGATCAAGAAGAGTGACTGGAGGAAGGAAGGCTGGAGAAAAGGTCTAGTTGAGAAATAAGAATGGAACTATCTTTGGGGTTCTCAACAGGGAAACAAGCAAAGGCCCCTCTTTATTGGGTGCTCACTCCAACTAGGCACTTGTTAGGGTACTTCTATGTATGATTTCATTTAATTCTTACTCCCTAATTATTTCAGATGGTTGCATTCTACAGAAACCACATGAAAAGGGAAATGAAGCCTCACAGTACCACCATCAGAACCAATGCATCTTCTTGCTGTTGTTGTGGATGTTGGCCCTCGTGCGTATGTACTGCTGAAATCATACAACTGATGGGATATTCTAATGAACTTGAAATAATGAGCTACCAGCGGCTTAGAAGCTAGACAGCCTGAACACCAAGTTCACATGACCTCGAGTTAATTACTTGACTTCCCTGAGAATCAGTTTCTCCATCTGTAATATGTTCATTCAGCCAATAGTTATTGAGCATCTATTATGTGTCAACCCGGACACACAGCAGGGAGCAAGGCAGGCGAGGCCCCTGGCTTCATGGGGCAGACGGACCCACAGACAATGTGCTGGCGAGGTGATCAGGGGAGTGGGAGGAGTCAGAGGCATGAGGACTTACCGTGGAGGTACTTACCAAGGTGGTACTGTCTGGGGTCTGTGGGTATCTGCAGTGGTGTTCACATGGGACCTGAGGGCAGGGAGGAGATGATACACAGCTGGTTCTCAGAGGGGCTCCCATAAGGATCGAGATGGCATATGTGCAAATACCTAGTGTCGGCTGTAACTGGTAAGTGATCTGTGCAGATTACTGTGGTCGGAAAGACAGCTTGACAAGCCACAGAACGGGAGGGCGCCTTACAGATGCTCTAGTCCTTTCTAGGCTCCTAATCTGATGACTGCTCCAGAGCTCGTTGTTTGGCCAGCTGGAGAACAGGTTAAAAATACGCATTCCTGGGTTCATCCCCTGAGGATTCCAATTCAGTAGAGAAATTGGACACAAATTTTGGAAGAATTTCCCAGGCAGTTCTAATCTAGTCTAGCCGCTTTTCCTAACCCTGAATTGGAAATGGAGAGACGGGGGATTCAGGACCCAAGATGGAGGTGACCAAGGCCATGTGGCCTGCAGAGGGCGGCGTTGAGGGATCGAGGGGGTAGGATGGGGCATTGGGACAGACCAAGGTGGTTCTGGAGCCCATGGGTCTGAGGAGTGTCTTGGATAAGCTCTCTGTTCTTTGCAGCTTCTGCATGTCTTCCAAGCACCTTGTGTGCCAGGGGGCCAAGGCGCTAACATGAACCAGCTCCAGATTTGTTTTCCCGGGGAGAGCCTGGGCCAGGTGGGGGGTGCGGGTTGCTGTGCTGCCAGCGTGACCGAGGGGCTAGCACTCCCATGGCTGACAAATTAGAAAGCCAGGCTGGCAAATTACCGTGCAATTCCTTCCTCTAATTAAATTCTGCGTTGATAACCAGGATGTCAAATCACTGTGAGGATGAGATGACAACATGGCCATTGTGTCTCTGTCACAGTCTGTTATTTTCAAATGTGTAGGAAAGTCTGTAATTGTGTTGACACCCATGAGGTCTCTGTCCCCGGCAGCCCCAGGAGCTGCTTGACCAGGTCGTAATTAAGTTTCCTCATTCTGCCCTCCGGCCCACTGCCCCAAAGATGGGCAGCATCCAGCTCTGCTCAGACTTCAACTGTGATGGTCACTTGTAGGCGGTAGCCAATCAGCTGAACAGCCCTTCTTCTGCCTCGGCTGGGCTCACACTGGGCCCTAGTGGTGTGGAGGGAGAATGGGCTGATTGATTTAAAGTGGCGCAGTGCCATGACTGGATGAGAGGACCTCCCGCATGCTCTCCACAGTTCCTTGCACAGACTGAGCTAATACCACTCAGTTCTTCCCCTGGCCAGTACTTTAAACGGCTAGTTCTGTCTGGCTTGCCGAATTAAATGGTGTGGAATAGGGCAAGTTTAGGAAGAGCTTCAAATGCTCTTTGTCTAACATGATAGGAAATAAAGGACTTAAGGATGAGCGTTCACCTAGACTTCTACTAAATTTAATACGCAATAGTTAGAGTCTTCATTGTGAGCCCAGGCATTATTCAATACACACCCAATCTCGTCCTCACCTCCATCTCCACTGGGCCGTCTAAATACTGCTTGCACAAGCAAACGTCAATTTCTACAATTCCTTGAAATAGGGCTGATAGGCCAGAGCATAAATTTTCTTTTAAAAATCAGAATTTAAAAAATTCGGATTTACTATGTTGGTGTTTTGTTCAACTATGTTTTATTTCTACAGTTGCCACAGAGAGTGTCAGTGCGGGAAGGTGTGATGTGAGGTTTAGGCAACACTTTTGTGACAGGAGGCACACCGACAATGATAACATCAGTTCCCATTACAATGAATTATATTATTGCCTTCCCTTTTAGGATGTACTAAATGCATAACTCACCTGACATGATTTTATGCCTTGAAAAGGCCTCTCTAAGGTAGGCTGCTTATTCAGTTCACAAAGGAAAAAGACGAAGTTCAGGAAGTTCAATAAATTTCTGGAGGTCAGAGATCTAGAAAGTTACCCAAATTGGAATGAAACACACCTGTCTTGAAATTCATGCTCTTTAAAAAGAAACTTTAATAAAGCCATTGTGTGGACAATTCAGTTTTAAAAATATCTTCTATTTCCCAATAGTTGTAGCAAAATTTTCCTATGATTGTAAAGTATACCAGCAATTTCATAATGACATTTTCAGGGAAAAATGAACTTTTCTACTCCATTGTCTGTAAATAATAAATATGACACAGCCTTTAATAAAAATAAACTTCAAAAATATGAAACTTGTTCATATATTGTGCTTGTCATTTTATTATTTACAGCGCATGTGCTCACACAGAGGGGCAAAGGGCCTTGAATTCTGTCTGCAGAGTTCCCCAGAGCACTTTATAGGAGCAATTTATAGGAGGAGGACCCTCCTA